CACCTGCTTGGCAAGCTGGTGCCTGGAGCCGGCCCTGCGGCTACCCCTCTGATACTGGAAATCACTATGTGCGTGTCCTTCCAGCTCTAAACCGCTCCCCCCCCCAGCCCTTAAACGCACTGCTGGCTTGGTCTAAGGGCAGAACCCAGCCCTAGGCAGGGGAGACTTGCCGAAAGCCCCAGCACTGGGCTGCGAGAGTGACGGGCTGGAGGGGTACTAGGTGTCAGCACGGGGTGTGCGGTGGGGGAAGGGAGGTAGCTAGAGTGGTTTGGGGACAGCTCTGGGCTGCATTTACACCAGAGGGCTCGAGAGGGCGCTGCCGGTCCAGAGTTGGAGAGAGCTGGAGAAGCGCTGGGGAAGACCCTGAGAGAAACAGACTGAAGCAGCAGGCCGGCTTCCCAGCGCCCGTTGCCACTGACACCCGCTGGCGGGGGAGAGCGCGAGAGGCGGCTGAAGCCTGGGGACTTTCCTCTCCCCTATCCCCAAATTCCTAGAGGAAAGTTTACAGACTCCTCCAAAAACTCCCCACCCACCCGTGAGCATCCCTCTGCAGCTGCTTCCCGGGTGCAAAGAGAACCAAACCCGCCAGCAGACAATGATAGTGTCACGGCTTCACCTCGGCTTCTAATTCCTGCCGGTAGCCGCTGCTCTCGGGAGAAGGGGGGAACAGGAAAGAGAGGGGAGCAGCAGCAAGACCAGCTGGGGCCCCTAGCGCTGCCGCTTCTCTGCCTTGCACAGATCTCAACGTGTTTTTTCTTCCAAGCCCGGGGATCAAGTTTGGGGCTCCAACAGACGCCCAAACTCCTGCGAGCCGGGGAGACATTTTCCCAGCTGCAGCCCGTCAACCCCTTAGCACCCTGCTCCCTTCCCCGCCCGTAGCAGCACCCAGAGCCCACGCAGGGCGCTGCATGTTGCCAGCTGGGGCTGTTGCTGCTACCATGCAAACGCGTGGATGACCTACCCCGCTGTCCCTCTCCGGCCCCGCCTCTGTTCCGGCAGTCCCGGGCCCTTGGCTCCTGTCGCTGGAGGAGCCCGGCGGCGCAGCTGACTGGGGCACTGCCTCAGGCGGGTTTGCTCCAGGACGTGGAAGTTGGGGCTGGTTTGGAGCGAGGGGGCGCAGACGGGGGGCGGCAACAGCCAGTAGCTGGAGGGGGCGAAAACCCCTCTGAGTGCCCGGGGTAGAGAGGAAATCTGCTCCCCTTGCTTCAGAGAGCTCCGGGCTGGGGAGCGAGACGAGCCCGAAGGGCGGTATCGGAGGAGCACAGCGGGTGTCTCTCTCACACACACGGGGAAAACAAAACCCGTTAGAAACAAGAAGACAGCGGGGTGAGGCGGGTAACCTGCTGCAGCTCAGCTCATCCACCGCGAAGACAAATTGTAGCGGCCGCCGCTCGTGAATGCACCGGGCTGGCGGGCCGCCTTCGCCACCCAAACAAACCCTCAGCAGCGCCGCGTGCGGCTCCCTCGCCGACTCCTGCCTTTCTGGCGCCCGGCAACCTCGCCTCCTCCGCGGCTCCCCAAGCCACCCGGCGTCACAGTGCCATCCCAGGCACGAGAAAGTTGGGAGTGGAGTGAGCGTGGGGGCTGAAGAAGAGACTCCCCCTCCCCAGGACTGCGCGGGGAAGGTGGGATTAAAGGCGGAAAAGGAGGAGAGGGAGGGTGGAAAACTGTTGAATTTCTGGGCTTGCGCTAGCGACGCGTCTTGGCCATCCTCGCAAAGGTGAAGGAGAAGCGGGGAAAGTAACTCGGGGGAGTGACCGGAATTATTTTTCAATCCGAGAGGAGTCTTTTCAAAAAGAAAAGCAACGATTTGCACGCCCTGAAGAGCGAGCTAGTAGGAAGCCTTGCACAGACACACGCTGCTGGGCGAGCGTGCAGGATCGTAGTCTTCCTCAAGTCAACAGGGTACTTACTACGTTTAAAAAAAAAAAAAACACATAGTAAACAGAGACGCGTCATGCAACAGAAAACAAGGAAGATGGGAATGAAGGAAAAAGGAAACTAAAATCAGGAGGAGGCGGAGAAAACACAGTGACAGCAAATTACTTCCAACAGAGAGTGTATGTCTGCCGTGACCCGGGATTTTAGGGGGTGCGCCCTTACGAATCACCCCTTTCTCCAACCCAAGTCTCTCTTCTCCACTGACACAGGCTCCTCTGCTTGGTTGTAGGAGAGAAGAAGGAATAAGAGGATTCGTTCAGCAGCGCCTGCGATTTTCAGCTGCTGCTTCTTTGGAGATTTGTTTTGTTCCTGGGGGATGTTGGTTTCCAGACCTTGACTTGTGCATGTTGCTCTTTTAATTTGATCGCAGATTTTGGTCTGCTGGTTGCTTGTTTTGCAAGAGAAGGAAAGGGGAGCCTGGCTTCGGTGTTAAAAGTTGCAGTTATTATTTTGCAGCTAACATGTGCACCAACATAGTCTATGAGTGGCTGAAGACCCTGCAGCTTTCCCAGTACGCGGAGTCCTTCGTAGATAATGGCTATGATGACCTGGAGGTTTGCAAGCAAATAGGGGACCCGGACCTGGATGCCATTGGGGTGTTAGTGCCCCACCACAGGCGCCGAATTCTTGAAGCAGTGATGAGGTTGAAAGAGGAGGATGAGACCGCTGCTGGTCTCTATTTCACCTTGGAGCCTCAGCAGCAGCAGGGCTCGCCCTCTCCCTCCCCAGAGATCTACACTAGCCACCTGGTGGAGCAGTATGAGGCTAAGGCTTGGAGGGAGCCTAGCCCTCGCCATCGTCAGGGGAACCAGGGGACCCCCAGGAGCCAGAAACTTGGACCCCGCAGCAGGGAGCTGATGATTTACCCAAAACTGAAACTGAAAATCATGATTAGGGATAAACTCATCCGGGATGGGATCAACCTGAGCAAGCCCCCTTACTCCAACAAGGTAAGGGAATCCTGTATCTTTTCCCTTCTCTCTACCCCTTGCATCAGTAATTCGTCTCAGCTTGGGTGCATCGGGGTCAGGAGTCTTAAACTGTTGTAGGAGCTAAACGTATTCCCCGTATTTAGGCAGTGGAATTGGAGAGTTAGGTGCCAATATTGATTGACTCTGTTTGGATCCAGGTACCAAATCTGCTTGAGTTACCTTCGTTTGTGGTTGGGATTTCTGGGTATAATAGGAGTGGATAAACCTGTTCACTGCCTAAATACAGGAACTTAAAGCAGTGGGGCCAAAAATTGGCTGGTTCTAACAGGATCCAAATGCTTAGTTTAGGTTTCTGTGGTGCTGTTGTGGTGGGATGTATTGAGATCTTGGTTTGGTTTATTTATTTATTCTCTGTGGTAAAAGTGGCTAGACTAGTTCTCTAGTAAAGTTTGGGGCTTGAGTTAAAAAATAGGCATAATCCAGTTTTATCCTCTATTTCCCCCCCCCCCCCATTATATATGGGAATTATAGGGATCATCCATATTGGTGAAGATAATTTTTTGGTGTCCGTTTCTGTTTGGTTAATATTTTATAAAACGCTGTGTAAGGATGCTAGAAAATAATTCCTTCTGTTAACTTTCTTGCTAACTAGAGAGTGGTATGATTATTCATCAACCATTCCAGGAGTAATTTAGTCTGTGCACAGGGGGCTAACTCTATTTGAAAGGATAGAAAAGTACGGGTCTTGGAAAAGTACATTCCAATTTGGTGAAATCGCATTCTGTGAAAACTGTTCCTTGAAAAAGTTAAAATATTAAAGGAAAGTGAGTTGGCAGATATAAATTACTTGGATTGTATAAAGCCTTTGATAGTCTGTACTGAAAATATGATAAGAAAAATAAATACTCATGTAGTTAAGTGAAAGGTCATTCCATTGTTTTCTTTCACTGAACCAGTTTTTTAATCTAAGTGTTGTGGTGTATGTTTACTTCACAGTTAAGAGAAAGGTCAGTGAACCAGTTTTTGGACCAGTGCTAGTAAATATCTTATTTAATGATTTCGGTTCTGATTTTCAGAAATACTGAGCACTTGGAATTCACGTTTACTTCTGTTAGAGTTGTGGGTGCTCAGTGCCTCTGAAAAGCCTTTATTGGAAAAAAAACTGGCAGCTAGTTGTTGAAGCTTGCTGAAGAGTCTAAATTGGTTTGGTTAGTGAAAGCTATTAAGGATTGTGAAGAAGCTCTTTATGAATGTAACTGCCACTGGGGCATTGGACATGAGGATGCTAAGTGAGACTCAACTATGGTAAGTGTAGGCTAATGCACACGATTAAAAATAATCTAAACTTCTCATATACATTGATGGACTCTGAGCTTGTGGTATTCTGTGGGTGGAAAAGACTTCACAGATGTCAAAGATAGCTCCATGAAGATGTTGGGCAAGTATGCAGCAGAACCAGTTAAAAAGTGAACAGGATGTCTAGATACATTTAAAAAGGAGTAGAAAATGTAATACTATATCTAACAGTATACACCCTCATGTGGAGGACTGGGTCACCTCATACTAAAATTTAGTTGAAATTGAAAGGCTCCAACTCACCTTCCTTTAATATTTTAACTTTTTCAAGGAACTTGAGCAGGTTACAGCCACAGTTTTCACGGTGATCAGAGGTGTGTCACAATTTACAGATGAATGGAGATTGCTAAAACTAGACTGGAAAGAAGAGTTACTAGAAAGGAAACTTGGTATTCTGAAGTGTAAAAGGATGACTTTATGACCATTAAGTTGCAGTTATTCATGCTAAGACTGAAAGGATCTTAAGCTTCAGGACTTAAATTGATCACTTGCTGGGGTCTGGAAGGAAGGCCTCTCCTTGTTTTTCCCATGTATAGTATTGAACAGTTGGCTAGCTCTATTGTGGTGGTGGCTTATTTTTATTCACCTTCTTCTGAAACATCAGGTATTGGCCGCTCCTTGAGGCAGCATATCAAATTTGATGGACCAATGGTATGATCTGACATGGCAAAGCCTATATGAATTCTTGTATCGTGTGTAAATACATCATCTTCTGAAAACTTATTAACTGTAATTTGGGATGAGAGTGAGTTTTCTCTCATAAATTATGATTTGCCTGACTCTTCTTGTTTTCTAAACTGCCATCAAAGGTCTCTCTCTCTCTCTCTCTCTCTCTCTCTCTCTCTCTCTCTCTCTCTTTTTCTTAATCCTTCACTTGAATCTAGAACTTTTAAATAGTTGTCACAGAAAGTGTCACTGGAGCTGCATGCTGTCCATTTCCGCGATTATATTTGATGTTTACAAGCAGACAACATTTTCCCAATGTTCTACCTTCCTATTATGTGGCCCATTTCTTACAAATAGAGCTTTTACTATATCTGTGTTGTTGGAACATTAAAATACTAAGATACTAACACACACACACACACAGCATCAAGGAAGTTCAAATCAATGGTTGCTGTTTCTTCTTTCACTCTCTCTTTATTTATGTGTGATGGGGTGCAGGTTAACTACTTGAGACCAAACCCTGCTCACCTTGTGCAAGTAGTATCATTGACTTTAATGAGAATACTTGTATAGTTGTATGATTAAGTTGGTAGGGTTTTAGCCTCAAATGCAACATACTGAAGTATAAAGGGGTAGGTGATGAACAGAGTGACAGCCTTAAGTTTAAATTTCCTAGATTTACGTCAGCTTGTCTCCCAACTTGTTTACTCTTGAATGATATTTTTAGACTAGAAAAACCTCTTGGTTTTATAAATCCTCTTCATGAACCAGTTCATATCATATAATGTTAAAAGAAAGTATGGAGTTGGCATGATTTAAGTGTATGTTATTCAACATGTTCCAAGTGTCATCCATTAATACAATCAGTCTTCACTATTCCCTTTGAGCCATTTGAAAAAAATCACGTTGTGGTATATTACTCTGAACACCACCCATTGAATATCAGAAAATAACATGCTGCATCATAGCTAATGTGGAAAATGGACTTAGTATGACAGCAGTAATTTTTTTTGGAAGTTTATTACTTTAGAAGAAGAAAATCTGATGTGCCTTTAGCAAAATTTGTGCTATATTTTTTGTAGATGATATATACAGTCTGCATTTCAGAAGAAATTGCAAGTATCATCTTCTAAGCTAAGCATACATTTTGCTGAATGAGTAATAAAACACAACTTTTCAAGGTTTACTGCTTATTTATTGCATATATTCATCAAAAGGTGTGTCAATCTAAGAGTAAATATGACCTGGTGGGTAGGGCACTGGCCATCAGGCAATTTGAGGTCTCTTCACAGCTCTCCCATTGTTCTGCTATGTGACATTGTGCGAGTCACTTCCTCTTGGTTTACCCAATTGTAAATGAAGGATAAAATATACTTACCTTTCCTAAGTGTTTTGTCATCTGTGGATGAAAAATGCTATATAAGAATATATTTATTTTTTGGATTTCTATTTGTTTCCTGAGAATACCTACTGCTTCCATTAAAAATGTTTTAGGAGGACCTCAAACATTAAATTTTATGCAGGCTGTTTTATAGGATTTTATTTGTAAATGTCTCTGGGAACTGGAAACACTACCACCACCTCTAGTTTGTGTCCTTTAGCTTTTTTAGTGAACTGTGGACTTGGAAGACCCAAATTGAATATATATCTTATATGGCAATGTAGGGATGAGGGACTGTAACGCCATTACTTGTGATATTTTTGTTTTTGTGTTTCAGGTGAAGTATGTATCTGCACATCAGTAGAGATAAAGAATCTGGATGGTATTTCTTTTGAATCTGAACAAACAAAATTAGCCTCAAATTAAAAGTAGCAGTCATGACTACTTGACATAATTTAATATGACTTGCTTTAAGAAGAGTGAATTTTGAATTCAAGCCATCTGCCTAGGGTGATTTCAGACATGCAGGTCTATCACTAACCATATTGTGGATTTACATGGGATTTAGAGCAAGGAAGCACTTTTTCTAATTATTTTTTTTATTTTTCAGAGATAAACTAACTGAGGAAAACTTCATAGAAGTAAAATTTTTGCTCTTGCTAATAATGCTCTTGAATTTTGAAGGCTACCTATTTTATTTTCAAGTCCCCTATATCTGACTGATCACGTTCAGAAGTCACAAGTATCAGTGAGATTCTTAAAGAGGTGGTGGATTTCTAGTTTACAGTTGAGGACCAATCCTGCAGCTGCTTTATACATGGAAACCTCACTGAGATCAATGGGGGTTTCCATGTATGGAGTAGCTGCCAAGTAGGGCAGTTGATTTGTGTGAAAACATGTCACTGGTTTTAAAAAAAAAAAAATCTGAGAAATCTTTCTCTTCACAGAATTCACATCTTCAGTCTTTAATTATTTTTGTTCTGATTGATGAGGGAATTACATGTGATACAAAGCAACTATTGGGAGATGGCTCTAATAGTGAAAAGGAGCCCTAATGAATTGAAGCCCTGGAATCCATTACAGATTCATGAAATGACGTTTGTTACTGACTTAACTTGCCTACCTTACAGGACTCAAAGAACCAGAAGCAGGCTCTGAAAGGAATCTGCCTTATGAAAGACAGGAAGGAAAAGTACAAAGTCCTTTTTTGAGGAATAAGTGAGATGAAGGGGAGACGAATATCTTCTCTGGGGAGAGGGAAGAGTGATAGCAACAACTAAATCAGATTAAATAAAGAAGATAGGACCTTTGCTTCATTAAACCCTTTTGGTGATGTCAGTGCAAACCAGACTATTTCAACACTGTGTTTGAGGAGTAGATTCATAGATTCTAGGACTGGAAGGGACCTCGAGAGGTCATCGAGTCCAGTCCCCTGCCCTCATGGCAGGACCAAATACTGTCTAGACCGTCCCTGATAGACATTTATCTAACCTACTCTTAAATATCTCCAGAGATGGAGATTCCACAACCTCCCTAGGCAGTTTATTCCAGTGTTTAACCACCCTGACAGTTAGGAACTTTTTCCTAATGTCCAACCTAAACCTCCCTTGCTGCAGTTTAAGCCCATTGCTTCTTGTTCTATCCTTAGAGACTAAGGTGAACAAGTTTTCTCCCTCCTCCTTATGACACCCTTTTAGATACCTGAAAACTGCTATCATGTCCCCTCTCAGTCTTCTCTTTTCCAACCTAAACAAACCCAATTCTTTCAGCCTTCCTTCATGTTCATGTTCTGAAGACCTTTAATCATTCTTGTTGCTCTTCTCTGGACCCTCTCCAATTTCTCCACATCTTTCTTGAAATGCGGTGCCCAGAACTGGACACAATACTCTAGTTGAGGCCTAACCAGCGCAGAGTAGAGCGGAAGAATGACTTCTCGTGTCTTGCTCATAACACACCTGTTAATGCATCCCAGAATCACGTTTGCTTTTTTTGCAACAGCATCACACTGTTGACTCATATTTAGCTTGTGGTCAACTATAACCCCTAGATCCCTTTCTGCCGTACTCCTTCCTAGACAGTCTCTTCCCATTCTGTATGTGTGAAACTGATTGTTCCTTCCTAAGTGGAGCACTTTGCATTTGTCTTTGTTAAACTTCATCCTGTTTACCTCAGACCATTTCTCCAATTTGTCCAGATCATTTTGAATTATGGCCCTGTCCTCCAAAGCAGTTGCAATCCCTCCCAGTTTGGTATCACTGCAAACTTAATAAGCGTACTTTCTATGCCAATATCTAAGTCGTTAATGAAGATATTGAACAGAGCCGATCCCAAAACAGACCCCTGCGGAACCCCACTTGTTATGCCTTTCCAGCAGGATTGGGAACCATTAATAACAACTTTCTGAGTACGGTTATCCAGCCAGTTATGCACCCACCTTATAGTAGCCCCACCTAAATTGTATTTGCCTAGTTTATCGATAAGAATATCATGCGAGACCCTATCAAATGCCTTACTAAAGTCTAGGTATACCACATCCACAGCTTCTCCCTTATCCACAAGGCTCGTTATCCTATCAAAGAAAGCTATCAGATTGGTTTGACACAATTTGTTCTTTACAAAGTAGTAGTGCTAGAGCAGATTTGTTAGTCTATATCTAATCTCCTAAAGTTTGTGAACAATTCTGCTTAATGGCTACTAAAATGTTACTTTGGTATGGGACAGGGGAGTCACCACTTTTGTCAATATAAAGACAAGTGGGGACATATAACTGTGGAACATGTCAAGAGCAATTAAGTAGTCTATTTATCTTTTATATAGTCTAAGTGACATCTAATAGTATAGTGAAATTTCATTACTGCCTCTAATTGAAATGAATGACCTGACCTGTTCTTGAGGAACTTTATTCAATTTTTCTTCCACTGAGAATTGCAAATACATAAAAATAAATTCATTAAAACATACATACATTATTAAAAAATAACCCAAGCAATTAAGATGATTTGCTTAGCAGCAATAAACTTGTACTGATGTAGATTTCAATATTTATTAGAGTTCTCATAAAACCATGTACTGTGACATAGGCCTATGTGACCTCATCTTGATTCACAATATTATTCCTGAATGCTGATTATCAGCATGCTTGGAAGTGTATACTAAAAATAATATAACATTTGAGGTCATAACATTAGGAGTGCATACAAATGTTCAAAATCAATAAACTAGATTCAAATGAGCATCTATGCAGACATCTACCCACATTTCCCACCGAAGTTTAAGATCTATGCTAATAAGACTCAACTCTTCAATTATGCTATCCTATAATTAGAATTGTGAGCTAATCACTGTGATATTAGTTTCAATATGTTTAAGTCCTTGGTATTATAGATTATTTTTAGATATATAATATCTAAGAGGTAAGGTTACTAACTATACACCTTTAAATTAAACAACTGTACTGGGTCCAGAAACTGAAAATTTGGTCAATGCTTTATAAAGAAACAAATGCAATATTGTGCTTTGCAGAAGTGGGAACACTCACCCATGCTAGATTTAAACATGAATCTTCCTCTAAAGAGCTGGTTGCTTTGGAATACCTGTATCAACTATGAGTAGTGGAATGTTCTGAAATATACCTTAGGGAAAGCTGCCCATTGACAAATGTAGTAGTGCATTAAGTAGTAACAATGTTTTCATGGCAATAAATTAACAAAGCTGTAGGCAATGTTTATGAAATGAAAAGAAACCTCTGAACTTCCCTTTGACTTCTTGTTCACTCCAAGTGTGTGTAAGACTGTCAAATATATCACCTCACATGTATGGTATTAGATTCAGAACCATGATTCATAAAATTACAGCAAACATACTGGAAAAATGTTGACTTCCGCATCCTCCTAAAGCATAAAGGTAACAAGTTACAGTATATGAGTATGTAGTACACCTCTACCCCGATATAACGCAACCCGATGTAACATGAATTCGAATATAACATGGTAAAGCAGTGCTCCGGGGGGGCGGGGCTGCGCACTCCAGTGGATCAAAGCAAGTTCGATATAACGTGGTTTCACCTATAACGCGGTAAGATTTTTTGGCTCCTGAGGACAGCGTTATATCGAGGTAGAGGTGTACTATGCTGTACTTGAATTTAGCCTCTTTCTCAATATTGATCAGCATAATCAGGCCTTTAGTATCCTTTGAAAATGTTTAACATGCAGTAAAACTTAATGGCTCTGATTATTCTATCTGCTTCAGGGGAGGGGACCTGGATAGGGTACATCAAGGTTGGATGGGGCATGAAAGAGAGGAAGTACTAATTCTGCAACATGCTGCCTCCTTTACTTCAATTCTGTGGTAGTCCCAGTCCCCGTAGTACATCCATAGTGGGCTCTCTGAAGCAGGAGAGGAAGAGAGAAGACATATGTGCAGTTCTATATTATATGGCATCATCCCCACTTCCCTATGTCCCAGGGGTTTACCAAGTTTTAAAAAAAAAACACTAATCCCATCAGTGGGAAAGAATGGAGGGCATGGAAGTAGTGTGGAGACACTGAGGGTGAAATCCTGGCTCTATTGGAGTCTATGGGAGTTTTGCCATTGATTTCAGTGGAGCCAGGAATTTACTCTGACTCCATGTGTGTTCAGAGATCTGTGTGAATCCCAGGACATGTACATATTTAGGGGATACAAATCTGCTGCCTGTTCTGTGAGAGGAGGTGTGGTGCAAATCTCTGTATCTGATTAAAATAATTCAGAGGAGTAGTCCTCACAACTATCATAGTATTCAAGCCCTAATGAATTCAACAAAAATTCATCCTTTGGGTATCCATCAACATCCAGTCCTTAGGAGCACTGACAGTCTCAGGGCATAGTAATCATGTCTCCTTTATGGAGAACTGTTAGACAGCCCCATTGCCATCAATACATAAGTTCACCAAATTTTGCATATTGGTCATCCAATCTTAGCTAATGCCATTTCCTTTCTTTTGGCAGAAGTCTCTCCAGATCTTTGTGCCTAGGGGAAGATAGAGAAGCTATTTAGATAAAATGTATCTTGTTTTGGATTTTCCCATTTAAAGGGTGAACCCGCTTCCCACCCTGGAGCCACACTGCTATGAAAATCCTATTGTAATGGATCTGAGGAGCTTAGTACAAAAGAATAGGAAAAATTATCTGTATTTACCTGAAAATTTCCTTTTTTTTTTTTTTTTAGTAATAAATTGTGGAGAAAAATGGATCATCCAGAGTAGAGATGGAAATTGCCATTCAAGGGTTTGGATTTGTTGTTGGTAGCTGGAATTTACTAAGACATTGTTGTGCTTTTTTCTCAAAATATATTTAACACACGATGTTATTTAGAAGAGTAGATTT